AATTGGGTGGAAGATAAGAGTCCTCAGCGCTGCTCCTCAAAGTCAGACCTGTCAGCTTCTACCCTTTGAAGTGGGAACCCTGCGCTATGGCATTAATGCCCAGTCACAAAAAAGCTAAAGCTTCAAAGCATCCTGGCTTCTAAACAGTGACAACAAAGAGAAAACTCCATTTCTTTTTTCGATCCTAGTATTTCAGCATAATGTTTATGTAAACCAAAGAGGTGCAACTCTCAAAAGCACGATTCCCAGGTGCTCCAACCCAGCTGCACTCTGGGAAGGCGCTGCTGCCCCTGAAGCTCCATGGCATCTCCAGCTGCCCTGCAGTGACCGTGCAGCTCCCCACTGCGTGCCGGCTCAGCCCAGGGAGAGCTGGATGGTCCTGGGCGCTGGTTACGCTTCTCTATTCCCAAATGGTTTGTGTCGTTCAAAAGAAAAGTGCTCAGGTTTTTTCTCCCCTTTGTGCTCTCCAGAGCCTGTGTTACTGTCCTGAATAATGCCAACAGCCCATCTGACAGCTTCTGCTCTGGAGCTAGTCCTTGTCTTTCGATCCCCACCTGCGGCGATTAACTCATTACTCGATGGGTACACAATGTCTCCGTCGGAGTCAGCTGTCCTGTGCTTCCCTGGTACGTGTCTGTCCATCCGCAGGAGCGTGGAGTAAAGCAAACAGCCCTGCCTCAGGAGACCAGATAAGACATGAATGCTCTCAGAGATTATTTGTCTACTTTGGCCCAAGGGCACCTTCCTCCCTGCACGTACAAACAGGGGATGTTATGCAACCCAGATACTTTTACTTATTAAGATAAATTTACAGAATCCCTGTAGCTGGATTTGGCAGGAACAATCCCCTTATCACCCAGCAGAACTAGTGCCAGCAGCTGCTACAATCTGCCAGACATCTGCAGGGCCTCAAAGCTGCACCTGAGCTTAGGTCAGCAGCAGAGGAGCTGCATTTTCAATGGCCAGCACCACCCAGTGCAAACAGCGGGCCACATGCTGGGCTCCTGGGCAGATGGACCTCTGGGTGACCATGGACAGCAGAGCGGCTGCAAGGGAGGCAGGCTAGCTCGCGTGTAGGCCAGTCAGGAGCACGACAACAGGGACTCACCGCTGTTCTCTACACCAGACAATAAACTGCTGGAGCTCTGCCTGCGCTGTGGTCAGCGCCTGCTGGACCTGGACATCCACATTTGAGACAATCCCCAAGACACATATACACTATTTCCCCCTGAAAAGCAGACACTGACCTAGGCCAGCTACAGAAAGCATCATTTCAGCAAAGAACGCTGTGGACAGCAGCAATGCCAGCATTAAGACGCTGATACCTAGTGGAGGAGGATGAACTATCCCGTCTCAGGGTGTTGAGGTGAAAGAGAGAAGGTGCAAGACAGACAGCAATGTTGGTTGGGGTCATCTGGTTTTCCTCAACAAAAGCAACCACATCTCGCAGAAAGAACAGGAGGATTTTCAAAGCTTCTCGGTTTTCCTTTGGGAGAAGGAGAATAGCAGCCTGGACAGCCTGAAACTGCTGATCCTTTGGCACGTCTGAAAACAGAAAAGAGGATGAAAATCACACGTGCCTTGCAGAGGAAGCATCCATCAGCAGAGTCCCAAACAGAGCATTGAAACTGTAGGTTCGTCTGTTTTCCTGTGGCTCCAGCTCACGACAGACAAGGCAAAGGCCATGATCACCATCACATCCAACACAGTGGATCTCTCTCTACAGTTTTCTCCTATTGCCTGTCAAGATGCACATTCACACCCAGCGATGCTGGTCCTTGACTCGCAATTAATCTTGAACACCATGCTAATGAACGAACTTATCCTGAACTGGCTCTGGTTACAATCCAAACAAGGGCTTGTCTCCCCATAAAATATTACTCTGGAATGATCCTTTGGAGCAGACAGCTACTCTACTGTCTTTTCCTTTCAGCTTCAGGCATGAAGAGAACAGATGCTCTCAGATAACTCAATTCAGAGAACAATGTTTTGCCAACAGATTTTAATTCACGCTAAAACCCAGTGAGCTTGTGTGCCCAAACAGCTCCTGCACAACAGTAGGTGTGGATCATCCCGCCGTGCAGCCCCCTAACACAAGGATTTCTCCATTTTACACCACTACAAAGGGTAGAAGATCAACTCTCCTCCCCTTCAAGTAGAAGCACATATGCAGAACACACAAAACATGCTTCTTGATGAAAGAAGCTCATTTCTTATCTCTAAAAGCCCGTAATTTAATCTTGTGCCACATATGACTTGAGCAAGCGCCCAGATTAGAGAAAAGGTGAGTAGAATTCAGTCATTTGCTGTTTCTATCCCAAAACAAGAGACGGGAGGTAGACAGTGGTCAGGTTATAATAAATGGAAGAAAACAGTTCCACATCGATTGGATATGGGAACTGTGGACCTCCTTACAAAAAGGATTTGTGGATGCAAATAGAAAACTTGCTTCAAACAAATAAACTATTTTCACACAAAATTCTAAAAGCCCTACAGGTTAAAAAATAAAAAGCAACCCAACTTTCACAAACCTACACCATACAAAGGACAGCAGCAGCTCATGTACTCATGTCGATAAAAGTCACATAAAACAGGCTGAAAATCACTCCACTCAGAAATCTCATACTTAGACTTTCAAAACTTTTTCTCAGAAGAAGAAACTTGGCTTAATCAACATCATCATAAGCCCCTATAGCAAGTCCCTTCCCCAACCCAGCTTTTTGAAAGCGAATTCCTTGAGGGCAAAGTCCTGGAGGTGGAACCTGTTTAAAACTCTATCCCATGCTAGATTTCAACTTCACGTTTCCTTCTTTTTCAGGTTCAGTCTAAACAGTCTCAAGGATGGAAACAGGAAGAGAATAGGCAGAAAGTTGCTGACACTTCCAGGCAAAGATGCTATTTCACAGCAACTGTGCTTGGGCACCTTAATAAAGAAATTTCATCAATATAACATGGCTTCTTGCACAAGGAGCTACTTCATGCCATGAACAACGGGACTAGATTCTTTTCTAGTTTTGCATTAGTAAATGACCGTTCAAAAACACAATTTAGGAGGGCTGCTACAACATATGTTATTACAGTCATCCTTCAAGGAACAGAAAAGACACAGTGTTAGAAAATAGCTGACCCTTAGTGTGCAGATGTGAAGCTCTTAAGTCCAGAGCCACAATAAACTTATCTTTTCAGAAACGTCCTGCCTGGCTTGTCTCCTCTGACTACAAGGGGACATGGCACCAGTCCTAGTCTGCCCACTGCCTTTTACAGCTGAATATTAAGATAGCCAAAGAACTCGAAAACTATAGCTTCTGTTACCTACATTGGTAGATGTGGAGGAAGGATTCACAGAGCCTGCTAGTAAATATAGGCTCAGGAAGGTCTCGGAAGTACTGCTTCACCATATCTGCCACATCAAACGCTGACTGCCCTTCGTAACATACGTTGTTTGGGTTGGTTTCATTCATTTCTCTTAAAGACAGAATCCTGGATTTCACACCAGATTTTCGGAACAGGCCAACCTGCAGGTAAAAGAAGAAAATATTGAAGACAAAGAGATGAGTCATTAGGAATCAAGCCTCTGGCAAGTAACTGATCCTTCACTTTCCATTTGATAGCTAAGGCCCTACGCTTGTGGGATCGAACACCAAAATATTTTTGTGTCATTAGAAGCAGCACAGCTATTGCTCCCAGGCAAACTGATGCCCACGGAACTGGCAGTGAAAGAAACACCAATTTTTGTGTTTGTTTGCTTGCTTTTTACTTAGCACAAAATTATTCTTTTTGACTTTTAAAATCATTACTATTGACATCTGCTAGTTTGCTTGAGCAGGCTACATTCACACGTTAGAACTGCAAGTTTCTAATGCTCTGATGTGTGTTCATCCAAAAGCAAATGTGCCTTGATGCCCAACCTGGAGCAAATAAACTCAGACTGTGAAATTCACAAGGTTCAGATGTAACATCTGATACATCCAACATGCCTACAGGTTGGCAAAAGGCAACTGCCATTCTGAGGGACATTATGATTTTATTTTTAATATGAATGTCAATCGAGTTTCAGACAAAACCTAGATTTAGAAGTTTCCCATGAACTCGACCTCAACAAAGCTTCTGCTGAAAGTTTGACTGTGTGCTGCTGAGACAGTATTTACATTCTTTGGTTTATTTATGTTAACTGAATAGATACCACGACCTCAAAATGAAACACTCTGCCTTCATAAGGAACTGACTGCTCACACTCCAGTATGTGCCACCAAACTGCACTGTAACCTCACAGGATGCACATGTTTTTGTACTTCAGCACAATATTGCACCTCTATACAGTTGCAAAGCGCAGAAAAAAGCAAGCCCTTTCTTTAACTAATAAGTCCCGTGTCACGGGGTCTCCCGTTACTCTAAGGAAACGGCATCTGCAACACGCACTTTCACTGCCATGCACACAACTCCACTTAGTGGACAAATACGGATTTGGGATCCAGAAAAAGATGTTACCGGCACTGTGCTAATATGTTTTATCTCTGCTTAGTGGTGCATCTCAGCTGAAACAATATTAATTATCACATTAGCTCTGGCACTGCCAGCAACCACAGAACA